TACAGAGGGACCATGGATGGCTTGCGCTGCACCACCCACAGCTCCAACCACATACCCCATATCCAGTGTAAACCCGAAGGAATAAGACCGGGAGGCATGCGGATGGGAGCCACGTTTCATCAACGGAGCCGGCCCACACTCCTTCACAGGCAAACACAAGCACACTGTATTTGGGGAATCAAGCGCACACAAGGCGGTGGCTGGACCGTAGTCCGCTCCACACTGAGTGCATGGAACCACTCTTCGAGCCTAACACGACCACAAGGACCGTGCACCCCGTCCCCTCCAGCAACGACCAACTATCTCCTAGAGACAGCTTGGACGGGGTAGTGGGTAATATACAAGTAGACACCTTGTCAACATGCAAATCAAGCGCAGCCGCACCGGGGATGTCAAATAACGGTCATCACTTGAAATGACAGTAACAAGTTGAATATATCTGTTATAGAATACGGCTGTGCAGACATAACTCTTCCCTAAATTAGCTTACGAAGTATGTTGGTTAGCAGCGAATCCGCGATAAGTAAAAAAAACCTCCAGAATTGATTCATCAAATGCTACAAACGCAATAAAGTTAACGAAGGTAAGCACGATTACCGTAGGCAACGTGGAAATCTAATAGAACATTATTCCGGTAGGCAGAACAAATCAGACGAAGCGGAATGAAATTTATCCAGCTTACAAAGACCTAGTTCTATTGTAAGTTGGTTTAGCCCAACTGCGGTGAAGAAGCGTCATGAATGCAACATCTGCCTCAGCAAGGGACATATATATATATATATATATATATATATATATATATATATATATATATATATATATATATGGTCCGTTTTTTACGTAGGCAGTGGAGTTCCCGGTTGCCCATTCCGAGGAAGAGGGTTGACTTAAGGGACCCCAGTCTGAGGCTTTGGTCGTGAAGACCTGACCCGCAATGCAGCGGGGCGAACATGAAGATCGTTGACAGCCAAGTGGCTCATTCGCCTTCTTCCTGTTCGGTTGACGTCCACAGAAAAGCCGATGGCCAGCAAGGTTGGTTATTCGCCCTCCGTTAGATACTCACCTCCAATTACTGAAGTGAGTGGTTAGTGACCTTCTAACCCGTCACATTGGCTTTGGCACAGGGTCGCACGTGCACTTGTGGTATTTAATGGAGAACCAGTTGAACAGCTCAGAACTCCCCACGCTCTGAGACGCTACCGCTGATTGTCCACGACTGCTTAATCATCTCGCTTGGTAAGTAGACGAGACTTATTCGTAGTTACCTCCGCAAGGAAAGCATTCCCCAATCCGCAACCTGCGGACGTACCCGATAGAGTACAGCTCCGCCACGGGCAAAGGGAACAAGCATTGTGCCACGACTTATCGCGTTATCAAGTTTCTGATGTCTGAGGTCGTCACTCTGAATCTGGTGTTTCCAGTACACACGAGCTATCCTCCTCGGGTAACCGTTACCGATAGCGGAAAACGGCGCATGTCCCCCACGCGGATTGACGAAGACTTGATCGCATACAACAACAATGAACAACAGGAGGCTCTTTACCGAGATGAAAACGCCCTGGACGAAGCCCCTAGTGCCTCCGATTGTTAAATAGTGATCGGAGATGCGAACAGAACCTTTCTTGTTGATAGTGCCGCCACCAGAAACAAGATAGATGAAATTATAAATCTGTTCAATCTGTGCACCTTCAAGGGGAGCAAGGCAGCAGATGCTGCCCAATCTTGGAGCATCAATTCGAAGAAACGACACAAATGTCATAGCTAGATGCTTCAACTGCCAACCGTTTAAGTGAGTTGTATACTCTGCGGATCGTCACCAATTAGGGCGACGTCATCTGAGTAAACTAAGTCGGTTGCTCGCTCACCCGGTAGAATCTCTATACCAAAATACTGGAAACCTCCTTGAGCTCTCGGTAGGACATTTTCGATTGCAAAGTTGCAGAGGAACGGCAACATGAGGCAGCCCTATCACACACTGCTGTTGACCGAAAGGCGGGAAAAGCTTATCACAGACCCCACGCTGGCAGAAACATGAAGCTAAAATGCACCTAGGATGGCGGTATACTTTTCTGTGACCGCATTATTTATTATCAAGTAACATTAAAAAACAGGTCGATCAACGGAGTCAAAGATAGCCCGTATGTCTAGGGATGCCACGATAGTGGGCCTGTGGTAAAAGTGGCGATGTTCGAGGAGTTGACAAAGCGGGAACATTTGGTCTGGGTCGGAAACCAGCTTGTTTTTCACGGTAGTAGGATTCACTTATTAGGGATAGTCTTAGAAGCCGCATAGATGCCAATAGCCTAGAGGCAACCGAAATGAGATTAATCCCTCGATGACTGACAAATGAAGTGCAAGTGCCTTTCTTGAAAATCAGAACAAGAACTGGATAACTCCGGGACGTAAGCCCCTTTTCATCGTATTGGATTCTAGCGGATAGTAACGGCAGCTAGTAACTTAGTGCTACGCCGCTTTACTTGAAAAGTTCCGGTGGAAGTCCATCTAAGCCGGCATAACTGAATCACTTCGAGTGTCGAGTCTCTAGGCAAACTTCCGTTTCGCTGGGTGGAGCCACTGGGACAAGCCAGAGTAGGTAACTGGGTGTACTGTACACACTGATGGACGGTGGAGGCCAGTTAAACTACAAATGAAAATTTTCAGCCAAGTGGTCCAAACGCGTGTGCCGGTTTGCAGCCGGAGACCACCAAGATTCCAGAGGCTAGTGGGCCGAGTGAGTTGGAAAAGATTACGAGTGATTCCAGAGAGTGAAGCGGTATCCATCTTCAAAGTACAGTCAAACCAGCAAACCTCGTGATTCTTACACAGGCTTGCTTGCTTCTGGTTGGCAGAGTAGCGCCACTCGTTGTAATTTGATACTTCTTCAATATTATTGCGGTGGTCCAACAGCTCCAGAGATCTGAGCTTTTGAGGGACGTCGGGCCAGGCCGCAAATTGATTATCAGGAAGCGAGCATTGCTTTTTTACACAACTCTAGTGTTGTTCAATGCTTTGCCATGCATTGCAACAGAGTGCGTCTGTTAGTGAAGACTGTGAGCTCGTCTGGACCGAGGAATCAGCCAATCTGTTCGCATCAACCTTGTGGTGCATCATTTCTAGGACCGCAAAAATACATGCAGACTTTCGTACAGACCAGCGCATAACACAGGTCAAGGAAAATGGACCAAGATCACCAGCAGTCCGTACGCCACCTCATTATTTGAAGTGGATTACAACGTGAATATTGTGAGACTGCGCTTGTGTGGGCAAAAGGAGACGCCAAGTTGTAGAACTTTTTTCGTAGACCTGCAGCTGGTGCTCGAGGGAGACAGATAGTTGTCTCCGCACAATGCCATAAGCCTATCTCCGTTATCCGAGTGGTCCTGATCCAGCGTGTGGTGACCACCAAGTTAACTTACATGTGGTAACAGGCGGCCAACTCGTGCAATGAAATTCCCTGTGAAGACAAGTACATCCGATTTGTTAACGTTACTCAACAGCTGATGAAGTTATCTAAAAACGTCCTCATTGACCGACTCACTACAGCAGTTCTCTGGAGCGTACTTTGAGATCACAGTTATGTTGCATCAATCCTTGCGACGCCTGTTGATTCTACATAAACCCCGAGCCCGAACTGCGCAAAGTCGGCTGTTAATCGGAAACCAGTAAGGCAGTGCAGCCTCGGCCTTGACATTTAGTGTTGCATCTACGCCAGCCAAACTTCTGGGTCAGAAAAAAAGACGTAACTGATATGTGGCTCCACGGTTAGTGGGGGTTGTCAGCGTAAGCACAACGCTGTACTCGAGTTTCGAAAAGGTAGCAGACATTAATATCGTAAGACTCCAGAGTACACGCTGGATCAGCTTGCTGCTCAACCTCCAGTGTCTGTACGCTGAAGCGCACCAGACGGAACGAGGGTCGCAGTCGAAGGAGGGCCACTGGTTGAACTCCATGGTTTGCGGTTCAACCAGAATCCAAGTTGGGACCATGAACACAAAAACCAGGTAACGGATAACAGGGATTGTTAACTAATGAACAGTTGGCGTGTGATCATAGCGCATGAATTCAAGGAGTAGAAACGGCAACGGATGAGTGAAGTGTAGAAAAGTCGATGGTTTGTTTGCCGGAGGACGCGATATTACCCAGCTGCCCAAGTCGAAGTAGGGAGCTGAGTTCAAGGACACCTCCCCAAACACTTGGCTAAATAGACCACCTACGAATTCAAGTAATCGCGCCCATTGGAAGCTGGTGACTGACGGCATAGTCCACGCACCTTTCGTTTGGTCGGTTAACAAACAGAGACCAAACCCACACCATGATTCTAACAAGAGGCTGCTAGAATACAATACACCGCCGGAGTGAAGAATTGTAACGTCCCACTCTAATGGAAACGACAATCACGGTGTTTCGTTCCCAGTCCAGTCCGCGAATTGCATATGTAGCTGTAAATTTTTCTGAAGAATAACAGATGCAAACAAGACGGTGCGAGCCGATTGTTTTGTGGCATATGCCAACCAAGAGATCACCTGTGAATAAGAACACAGTAGATTGATCTCACACGACACCACGTTCTGTTACGAGCTCAGCTAGTTTATAGACATTCTTCCGTTTATCCACGGTAGAGAGAACCCGCCAATCAACGGCAACGAGAGTTCAAGCTTACCAGAGTGCTACAATCAAACCCTATTTATTCGACATTTACTGTGTTTGAGCAAATATATAGTGCTTCCTAGACTTCAGCCGTAAATTTGCCGAGCCGGTAACGTGGCGACGTGCGGGGACCAAACGTTGTGCATCCTTGTGAACATTTGTGATGACTTGATTTATCCAGCTTCCCCTTGTAGAAAGCATTCGATAATAAACTACATACGAATAAGTTAATGTCCGAGTGGAAAAACGTCTTAGTACTCACATCTTTGCTGGATATCTGGATTAATCTCATTACGACCACAATGACAGCGTACGCCAGTGGTGGAATAATGATGAGAGGAGCTGTCACTCACTTGTATGGTTCCCTCTCCAAAGCACACGGCTTTTGTCCACTCCGGTCAGACTGGTAGCGCAGTTTGGAAACTTCGACTGTGGCTTGCTGTCCGAATCGCAAGGAGAAACTAGTCGGCATATTATGGATCGCATAGGTTGGAAAAGTGGATGGATTGTGAATAATAATGTGAATGCCATCGTTGGCCGGATCAGTGAAGGATGGATCCTAGAAAAAACGAAAGAAAAATTCTCACGGGGTCAGAGAATAAAACTTATGGGCATTGCGCTGTTGGAAATTCGTGCTGCTGCTCAGTGCAAGGTTGTCTCCCCGCTGAGGAAAACCAGACGTGCCATTCACCTTAGATATGCAGAGCAAAACAAAGGCTGTTTGCATTAACGGTTTCTCAGGTTGGTTCTCTGTAATGACAGGTATATCCAACCGTGCTGTTCAAGTGAACATTGAAAAAGTAGCCCTCAAAAGACTATGGAGATTGCGTGAGGAAAAACTCTCCAGGCTCCGAGCTGCTCTACGGGCATGTCAACAAATTTGAATGACTGTAGCGTGGATAAGCATAGAGTGCACAAAACTCGAAAAGAGAACACTAGGTCTACCAGCGGTTTAAATGTTATAAAAAAAGATGATTAGAACTGTTTGTATTAACGTTTCTATTGCATGTATGCACTGGCAAGGTTCTGCAAAATGTTTAAGGTTTTGCTAACGTGGTTTTTTGGTGCATATTCATATGTTTACAAAAATGTGCATTAAATGAATTCCGACTTGTGACCATAGGGGAGTAAGATCAATAGATAAACAGATAAGCATACTAGTTATTAATTCATTCATTCCCTATGACGAAAAGTACATTCCAAAATTCAGCAGATCACTGTTGCCTCGGTCGTCCTTTCCACGCATCACCAAGCAAAGAGAGTTTAGTCACCCATTAGCTAGAGCTCGGATTGCGATTTCAGGAGGCAGATGGGGTGTATACTCATCATCAGCACCATCAATATCATAAGCATAATCATAATCACTATCATCATTATCAGCAGCAGCAGCATCATCATCATCATCAGCAGCAACATCATCATCATTCTCATTCTCATCATCATCATCATCATCATCATCATCATCATCATCATCATCATCATCATCATCATCATCGTCATCACCATCATCAGCATCATCGTCATCATCATCATCATCAGCAGCAGCAGCATCACCATCAGCAGCATCATCAGCATCATCATCATCATCACCATCATCATCATCATCATCCTCATCATCAACACCACCATCATCATCATCATCAGCAGCAGCAGCAGCAGCATCGTCATCAACATCATCATCCTTTCCTCCTCCTCATCATCATCATCGTCATCAACAGCAACCTCATAATCATCATCATCCTCAGCATCATCATCATCATCATCATCATCATCATCATCATCATCATCATCATCATCATCATCATCATCATCATCATCCTCATCATCATCATCATCATCATCATCATCATCATCATCATCCTCCTCATCATCATCATCATCATCATCATCATCACCACCATCATCAGCATCATCATCATCATCCTCATCATCATCATCATCATCAGCATCATCATCATCATCATCATCATCATCTTTATCATCATCATCATCACCATCATCAGCATCATCAGCATCATCCTCATCATCATCATCATCATCGTCATCATCATCATCATCATCATAAGCAGCAACAATAATACACGTTAGATGAGGTTGGGAGACCCACCTTAACCAATCTCATCATTCTACATGTTAGGTGCAGTTGGGAAACATCTCAGATATTGCGCCGCAATACAAAAGAAAAGAAAAGGAAGACAAACAGTGGCACGCCGGCTGAGTCCCCAGTAACGGATGGACATCGTTCCGGAAATCTAGCAGCTGGCTATCGTGCCGTAGAAAGAGAGTCATATTTTGTCTAACGAGTGAGATCATGCTTGGAGTGGGATGCTAAGCAGGAGGGAGATGGATAAAGGAACTTCCAACACAAACGCCACTGGGGCCGGCTCTTCGCCATATCAGCAAGTCTATCCAACCAAATGTGCTCACCGTTTTTTGGACCCCAGCTAGGCAGCCGGGATGCAGCAACCGACGCCAAATTCGCAGTGAGAGTTTACATTTCTCTCGACCAAGTCATCACCTGGCCTCCTCTCCTCCTCTTCCAACCGCACCCACAACGCGCAAACAATGCACTTCGCGGAAGTCGGTGTGCTCGCATGTGCAACACGTGGCCCAACCATCGGAGCCTGGTGCGTAATGTAATGGTGCTGAGCGGCTCACTCGCTCTGCCTGCACCAATTACGCGACGCCGAAAACCCTCATTGCTCACGCGGTGCTCCCACCAGATATGAGCTAAGCTGCGAAGGCAGCGATGATCGAATATGACGAGCCTGTTTATGTCTGTCGACCTGATGTGCCAGGTTTCACAGCGATATAGGAGAGTTGAACGGACGGCTGCGTTATAAACTCTGTTCATCAGGGCGAGAGTAATGTCCCGTCTGCGTCACAGGTGACGGAGATTGGCAAAAGCACCTCTCGCTTTTGCTATACGGTTCGTAACCAAGTGTACACTGTGACGATAGCTTTAACTAGATTTTCAATGAACTCAGGCAAACCGCAGAAATATCCAGACTGATACTATCCTTGTTTTGCCCGTCGCAACGAGACAGGACCTTAACGTTGTGCGACGGTTTGCGTACCTCATTGACCCATTGAGCTATACTGGGTGATGCAGCCGAGCATCTTTAGACCTACTCCTACCAGACTGGTCAATGGTGAGAGGTCAGACAAACTCAGTCTCCTGGTCCTCCAGGTTGGGGGTTTGAAATGGGATGGCGTACATTTCTGTAAAACTAATCACTGCCACCCCAATGCCTTGCGGACAGGCTTTTGAGCCAAAGACTTTGGATGAGGACCCTAATCGTTCTCCTGTCTAGGTCTGGGCGCCTTGGCAGTATCCCAGCCCACATACAACCATGACATTTTCTTCAAACATAAACTTCATCCTGCATCGGCCGTCGCGCAGATTATCAAGGGTCACCTTATCTGCTGCATACAGCAGGGCGGGTAAGCGAAAACATGCTACTGCTAGCGCCTCCCTTCTTTCTTTTCCACCTTTTTCTCTTACTCCCATCCCGGCCCCTATTACTAACCTTCCTTCTATAATTCCCAGCTTAATTGACAGCAACCGAAGTGCTACTGGATTAGTACCGTCTGCAGCCACCATCCCACAGCACCTATCGGACGCCTATCGGCAAAAGTTTCTTATAAGGCCACGCTGTCCCATTTCCATGGCGACATTCAACGTCCGCACTCTAAGACAAACAGGTCAGCAGGCTGCACTCGCACGCACCTTGAACACACTGGGTATTGATGTGTGCTGTGTGTCCGAAACTAGGATTAATGACCCTAACGGGGTTATTGAATTAACTGCACCCGGCTTATCCTCTCGTTATTGGTTGCACGCATCCGGAGACGCCGATGCGGCACTCACGGGTCAAGCTGGTGTAGGTATCATTCTCAGCTCCAAGGCTGAGTCATCGTTGGTTGATTGGATTCCGGTGAACAGCCGTTTATGTGCAGCCCGTTTGACGACATCAGCTAAGGATGATTGACGAAATAGTACAAAACGTTGTTTGTTTGTGATTTCTGCTTATGCTCCCACCGACTGCAGTTCTAATGCAGTCAAGGACACTTTCTATCACGAACTGAACACGCTGCTACGCAGTGCTACTAGTTCAGATATTATAGTACTTGCAGGGGATATGAACGCACAAGTAGGGCGTCTGAGCTCTTCAGAAGCTCAGCTGGGTGGTAAGTATGCACTTAACTCTGAACGGACTGACAACGGCGAGCGTCTTCTGCAACGGTGTGCGGAGCACCAGTTGTTTCTTACTAGCACTGCTTTTAGACACAGTGGGCGCCGAAGTGCCACTTGGCGTCCACCTTTAGCTGGCCAGCGATGGACCCAAATTGACCACATATCCATAAGTTACAGGTGGCGTGGTTCCATTCTGGATTGCCGCACGTTTTGGAGTATCTGTGTCGACTCTGATCATGCCTCGCTGCGCTGTCGTTTCTCCATGAACTTTACCGGAAGGCGCACCAAGCGTCCCCTACGATTGGCAACTGTGAAATTGTCTCAGTCCTCGGTCAGGCAAGCCTATCAAGATGCCCTAAGCAACGAACTTTCGCTGTCTTGTACTAATGACACTGAACTTCAGTGGAATAGGATCTCGGCCGCCACGCACGACGCAGGCGCATCTGTTTGTGGCCCTATCAGTCGTCACCGCATCAGTCACTGGATATCCGAGAGGTCCGTGAATCTGTTGGAAGCTAGAAGACACCTCCCGGCTGGTTCTGGACACAATGTGACCAGACGGGCTATTAGACGTTAACTAAAGCGGAGCTTACGTGCTGACAAGGAAGCCTGGTGGACCAGTCGGGCTCACTAAATGGAGGAGGCAGGAGCAGTAGGCAATTACCGCAAGCTCTTCCAGCTAATCCGCACCACTGGTCCGAGAAAATCAGGCGTCAGTGAGACAATCAGGGACAGCACGGGTGCGCTGATACACAATAAGGAGCGCCGTATGGCTCGTTGGGCTGAACACTTTCAAGATCAGTTCAGCTGGCCCCCTGCTCCCGGACCTCTTCCTACTCAGGTGATGCAGGACGAGCCATGGACGGTTAGCTTAGAGCCTCCGTAGGAGACCGAGGTCCGAAACGTGATCACAGCCCTTAATCGTTTTCGTGCCGCTGGCCCGGATTTCCTCCCACCTGCACTATTTAAAGATGGAAGTGAGGTCCTCTGCAGGGCACTGACCTCCCTATTCGAACGTATCTGGAACGAAGAGAGCGTCCCGGCTAATTGTAGCGAATCGATTATAGTGGCAATATACAAAAAGGGCAGTCGCACAGACTGTGCGAACCACAGAGGTATTAGCCTAACGCCAATTGTGACAAAATTACTGGCCTCGATTCTCGTTCGTCGCCTCACTGCAGAACGGGAATCTCGGATTAGGGAAGAGCAGGCCGGTTTCCGCCCAGGACGTGGCTGTATAGACCATATATTTACTTTGCGGCAGGTGCTAGAGCAGCGCCACGCATACCGCAGACCGACAATAGCTGTGTTCCTCGATTTCAAGAGTGCGTTCGATTCAGTCGATCGATCGATTCTGTTCG